CGTTTACAGCGTGCTTCTGTCTCCGCGCTGTTGTCGCCCTGTTGATGACGTCAGCTACGCGGTTTAGTCGAGCGCGGTTTAGTCGAGCGCGGTTTAGTCGAATGCGGTTTTGTGGTGGAATCATTCTCATTTATAATTCTATGGTTTATATTTTGCTGACCATGGTTCCTGATATTTATGCTTCTTTAGACTACCAATTTTTAAGCTTTATTCACAATTAAATAATGATGTGCTGTAAAATTATAATTTCTATATTTGTAAATATCTTGTTTATTTATTTGTATTTTTCTTTCTTTCCTTTTCTTTATTCTTTTTCTTTGTTCTGTTACTTTGAAATGTTTAACAAAATCTATACTGAAAAATTTCAGCTGGCGTCTAGCTGAAAATTTCTATGAACATTTAACAGCAGTTTTTTTTTTTTAATACGAGGGATTATCTACTAACAATATAAAATAGATATTTTAACAAGATCAAATTTATTCACGTTACAAGCAAGCAATATTTTATTAAAAATATACATAATCAACTGGCACGTGTGGAAACTAACCTTATGAGTTACAGAATCTAGTTTTGTTTGGCACCTGGAAATTTCCATTAGATCTTCTTCGGCCACTTTTGTTTGTGGTAATCTATTCTTTTCAAAATCATCCTGATTCCCATGCTGCAATTTTAATCATTTGTTAGTATTGAACAGTACAGCTGCTACATTCTACTTGTTTCTACAAAAAAATAATAATAATAGATATACAAGGGAGAGATCGGCAAAAATATATACTGGTTTCAGTTGAACAGCAAATTGGTCAACAATGCCAATTATGGTCATATTGAGGAACTCCCCTCTCTGATTATGCTGACTATCGTCCACAGTTCACTGATGTTCATCACAAAATTCTTCATAGTCATGAACTTTGAAATGTTTTTCCTCCTGATAGTAGTGAAAACTGTATACGTTTGAATAGGGTGCAGCTAAAATGCAGAACAGCTGCTAAGAATGATAATACATACAAAAATGTTTATGTCCATATAGATTTTTTCAGTGAGCGCATTAATGTACACATGATTTATGGTATTGGAGTAATTAAAAAAAAAACAGAAATGGAAGGCCTGAACATCAATTCAATTCTAGTTTCTTCAAACCCTCTTTTGTGGATCCTTATGATTCTTAAAACCGTTTTCAAAGCTTTAAAGCTCAAACTCTTAAGTTCTTGGGCTTTTTTGAATTTTTTTTATTGTTTTAGTTAAACAAAAACACACACAAAAAAGAATCATCTTTCGTTACATCTTGTAGAAAGCATATCGATTGGTTACAAATATATTCCGTGCGTTTCTTCCACAATCCCTACATATACTTCATTCAAATCAAGTTGTACATTTTAAGTCAAGAAAGAGAAATTATGTATTTTACTATCCCTGTACAATTCTCATTTG